GAATGGTCTAATATCTCAACGGCAACATGGGACAGGTTCGCACGTATGCACATGGCTATCCAGAGACACGTTGAGAAGCGCCACCCAGCGTGGAGTACGAGTGACCATCGGGGGTAAAGCCGCTCTGGGCAGTCGAATATAGTCTGTATGTGAGGAAGGGTCACAGAGCAACGAGGGAACATCAAGTTCTGTTACAAATTGGGCAAAATGGCGACGCATGCAATGTTGGTGCAAGTGTACAGCGTGGAAGCCGTGAGCAGAAAATGTGTTTACGACTGGTTCAAACTCTTTTGCGATGGGAAGGAAACGGCTGAGGATGAACCACATTCGAGTCGACCGTCAACAAGCAGAAACACAGACATGATCGAGCGAGTGCGATAAATGCTGACACGAGATCTGCGACTGACTCTACGAATGATGGCGGAGGAATTGGGCATTAGCAACAATACGGTGTGCACCATCATCCACAAAGCAGATCTGTTCCTGGTTTGTGCCACACAAGTGAACAGAAAGCAAAGTGGATGGAAACCTCTGGAGTATTCATTACCATGTGAGACCAGTATCCATCCTTTCTGCGAACCATCATCACAGGGGATGCGACCTGGTGCTACCAGTTCAATCCAGAACCAAGTGGCAATTGATGGAATGGCATTCACCATCTTCCCCATGACCCAAAAACAGTCACATACAAAAGTCCAGGGTCAAGACAATTTTGATCACTTTCTTCGACAACAATGGCATCATCCATAAGGAATTCATTCCTGCAGGTCAAACCGTGAGCGCTGCATTCTACGAGGAAGTTATGAAACCGTTGCAATGATTCATCTGCCGTGTTTGGCCAGAGTTGCACAGGACTAGACAGTGGATGTTGCTGCATGATAACGCGCTTGTGCACTGAGTGATCTGTATGCGCCAATTCTTGCCTCAGCACAGCGCACTCGTTCTCAATCATCCACTGTACTCCCATGCGACTTTCCGCTTCTCTGCCTGAAGTGTGTCATGAAAGGCACGCATTTTGAGGATATAACGGCAGTCCAAGAATGTGTGAAAGCAGTTCTGCAATCGATTCCTAAAGAGCTCTGTGCTGACAGTTTGCAGAAGCTTTATGAACGTTGCCCAAAGTGTGTTGTGCAGGATGGCAATTATTTAAATAAAGGTAGTTAGTATCTTACAATGTTTATTTTCTAATACCATTCACCAAACATTTTAGAAACACCTCATATAGCTATATATCTCTAGAGTATAAATCAGTTATTGATCCATGGCCGGTGACGTTATGGAGGAGTATACATTAATGGTTGGTATAGAGATCTACAAATGTGTTTTTGATCTATGGCTGGTGATGGTATGGAAGAGTATACAAGAGTGGTTGGTATAGAGATATAAATACTGGTTGAACTATGGCTGGTGATAGTATGGAAGAGTATACATCAGTGGTTGATCCATGGCTGTGATGGAATGGAGGCGTATACATCAGTGGTTGATCCATGGCTGTGATGGAATGGAGGAGTATAAATCAGTGGTTGATCCATGGCTGTGATGGAGTGGAGGAGTATACATCAGTGGTTGATCCATGGCTGTGATGGAATGGAGGAGTATACATCAGTGGTTGGTATAGAGATCTACAAATGTGTTTGCTCAATGGCTGGTGATGGTATGGAAGAGTATACATCAGTGGTTGATCCATGACTGTGATGGAGTGGAGGAGTATACATCAGTGGTTGATCCATGACTGTGATGGAATGGAGGAGTATACATCAGTGGTTGATCCATGGCTGTGATGGAATGGAGGAGTATACATCAGTGGTTGGTATAGAGATCTACAAATGTGTTTGCTCAATGGCTGGTGATGGTATGGAAGAGTATACATCAGTGGTTGATCCATGACTGTGATGGAGTGGAGGAGTATAGATCAGTGGTTGATCCATGACTGTGATGGAGTGGAGGAGTATAGCTCAGTGGTTGATCCATGACTGTGATGGAATGGAGGAGTATACATCAGTGGTTGATCCATGACTGTGATGGAATGGAGGAGTATACATCAGTGGTTGGTATAGAGATCTACAAATGTGTTTGCTCTATGGCTGTGATGGAATGGAAGAGTATACATCAGTGGTTGATCCATTGATGTGATGGAATGGGGGAGTATACAAGAGTGGTTGGTATAGAAATATAAATAGTGGTTGAACTATGGCTGGTGATGCTATAAGCTATAGAGTAAACATCAGTGGTTGAAATATGGCTGGTGATGGTAAAAATAAATATACATCAGTGGTTGATCCATGGTTGGTGATGGCATGGAGGGGTATACGACGACAGTTGATCCATGGTTGGTGATGGCATGGAGGGGTATACGACGACAGTTGATCCATGGTTGGTGATGGCATGGAGGGGTATACGACGACAGTTGATCCATGGTTGGTGATGGCATGGAGGGGTATACGACGACAGTTGATCCATGGTTGGTGATGGCATGGAGGGGTATACGACGACAGTTGATCCATGGTTGGTGATGGCATGGAGGGGTATACGACGACAGTTGATCCATGGTTGGTGATGGCATGGAGGTGTATACGACGACGGTTGAACCATGGTTGGTGATGGCATGGAGGTGTATACGACGACGGTTGAACCATGGTTGGTGATGGCATGGAGGTGTATACGACGACGGTTGATCCATGGTTGGTGATGGCATGGAGGTGTATACGACGACGGTTGATCCATGGTTGGTGATGGCATGGAGGTGTATACGACGATGGTTGATCCATGGTTGGTGATGGCATGGAGGTGTATACGACGACGGTTGAACCATGGTTGGTGATGGCATGGGAGGTGTATACGACGACAGCTGATCCATGATTGGTGATGGCATGGAGGTGTATACAACAACGGTTGAACCATGGTTGGTGATGGCATGGAGGTGTATACGACGACAGCTGATCCATGATTGGTGATGGCATGGAGGTGTATACGACAACGGTTGAACCATGGTTGGTGATGGCATGGAGGTGTATACGACGACGGTTGAACCATGGTTGGTGATGGCATGGAGGTGTATACGATGGTTGATCTCTGGTTGGTGATGGCATGGAGGTGTATAAGTCAGTAGTTGATCTCTGGTTGGTGATAGTATGAAGGAGTACACGTCAGTGTTAGGTACGGAGCTATATAAACCTGTGTTAATTCTGTGGTTGGTAATACTATGGAGGAATGTACATCAGTGACTAATCTATGGCTGGTGATGGTAAGGAGGTATTATCCATGGTTGGTATGTATAGGAGGCTAGAGAAAACAGAAGTCATATTGGGATGGACACACGTCAGGCATATAAATGAAGATCAATATATTATTGTGTGATATTGTACGGGATTTATATAGTGCTAACAGGTTGTGCAGCACTTAAGTGGTAGTAAACCTCAGACATGAAATAAATGAACAAAGCATATGCTTCTATAGTGTGTACTTGTCTCAATCCAGAGCACCAAGTGTCAATTCTGTCTGCTGCTTCTTTCCTCTATTGGCACGAACTGCTTCTGAAAATTTTCCTGACACCGAGAGAAAAAAAAAAAAAACAAACAAAATGGTGACAGGGAGGGACCCTCAGATTTACAGCATCAGCTCTGTTCCTGTGAGCTGGGTCTCTTCCCTTCAATCAGCTCTCAGAGCTCCCCTCACTGAGCTCTACAGGGTTTAATTTCAGTCCTCCACCCCCTTTTTTCTGAACTCTCAAACAAGATTTAAAATTCAGGACTTTGACAGATGTAGAGAAGACTGCAGACAGACAGGTACAACTTATGTAGGAGAATTTGTTTCATCTCTGTGTATCACCCGAGGCCAGTCCCTTCACAGGTAAAAATGGCAATTAAAGGTTAATTTCACACATTTGCAGCTTTTTTGAATTGCAATCAGTGTCTATGTATAGAGTGTCAATGAGTTTGTTAGCTCTCACATGTATGCACTGAGCAGGCTAGATACGGAGCCACAGGGAGCAGAAAAGAAAAACTGTCAAAAGACCTGCGTAAAAAGGTAATGGAACTTTATAAAGATGGAAAAGGATATATAAAGATATCCAAAGCCTTGAATTTGCCAGTCTGTACTGTTCACTTATTAAACCCTTGGTGCCGGCGCCTCCCAGCCCTTTAAGGGTTTCAGAAGCCAGGGCGGGGTTTTAGGGTCATGTGACTGCCGTGATACGCTGTCATGGCGGTCACATGATCAGGAAAGGTCCTGATTGAAAGAGGAGATTGGGACCTTTCCGTGACTACCGGACATGTGTGCTGGGAGTGTGCAGGGCGCACGCTCTCAGCACGTTTTTCTTAATTGCAAGCAAATGTGCAGCTGCTCAGCGTCAAGGCCCAGATGCCGGGAAGGCCGTCCACAAGGTTTAGGAGGGTGTCTATGGGAAGGTTGGACCATTCTTCCAGAAGCACATTTGTGAGGTCAGGCACTGATGTCGGGGGAGGAGGCCTGGCTCACAGTCTCCGTTCTAATTCATCACAAAGGTGTTCTATGGGGTTGAGGTCAGGACTCTGTGCAGGGCAGTCAAGTTCCTTCACCCCAAACTGGCTCCTTCATGTCTTTATGGACCTTGCTTTGTGCACTGGTGTGCAGTCATGTTGGAACAGGAAGGGGCCATCCCCAAACTCTTCCCACAAAGTTGGGAGCATGAAATTGTCCAAAATGTCTTGGTATGCTGACGCCTTAAGAGTTCCCTTCACTGGAACTAGGGGGCCAAGCCCAACCCCTGAAAAACAACCCCACACCATAATCCCCCCTCCACCAAACTTTACACTTGGCACAACGCAGTCAGGCAAGTACCATTCTCCTGGTAACCACCAAACCCAGACATGTCCATCGGATGGCCAGACAGAGAAGCATGATTGGTCACAACAGAGAACCCATCTCCACTGCTCTAGAGTCCAGTGGCAGCGTGCTTTACACCACTGCATCCGATGCTTTGCATTGCACTTGGTGATGTAAGGCTTGGATGCAGCTGCTCAGCCATGGAAACCCATTCCATGAAGCTCTCTATGCACTGTTGTTGGGCTAATCTGAAGGCCACACCAAGTATGGAGGTCTTTAGCTATTGACTCTGCAGACAGTTGGTGACTTCTGCGCACTTCAGCATGCGCTGACCCCGCTCTGTCATGTGACGTGGCCTACCACTTGGTGGCTGAGTTGCTGTAGTTCCCAGTTGCTTCCACTTTATCATACTACTTAGGCTAGGTCCACATCTCGCGGGCTGTGTTTTCTGTGGGCATTTGAATGGACTCCCGAACCCCGTGACACGCAGGGAAGACGTCTCTGAACCTCTTTGGAAAATGCATCCTCGGTTCCCAGTACAGTTGTGTTTTCCAGTGCGGGTGGCATGCCAGTAGAATTAGAGGGTCCGCATTCCTCTGTGCGGGTGGTGCAGATGCACAGATTTTTGTGTGGATCCGCAGGGGCACTGCCTGCACAGATGTGAACCTGGGGTAACAGTTGACCGTGGAATATTTAGTAGCCAGGAAATGTCACGGATGGACTTATTGCCCAGGTGGCAACCTATCACGGGACCACACTTGGGGTCACTGAGCTCCTGAGAGCGACCCATTCTTTCACAAATGTTTGTAGAAGCAGTCTGCATGTCTAGGTGATGATTGTATACACCTGTATCCATGGAGGGGATTGGAACACCTGAATCACATGATTGGAGGGCGGGGACAATACCTTTGGCAATATAGTGTATATCTGGTATGGCTATGTACATAGATAAGTGTGTGATGTGGAGGTGTATTATAGGTCAGGATGGAGGGGTCTGGTATATATATGATGTTGGGGATGGTATAGAGATGAGGGTGATGGAGGTGTATTATAGATCAGGTTGGAGGGATCTGGTATATATGATGGGAATGGTATAGAGATGAGGGTGATGTTGAGGTGTATTATAGATCAGGATGGATGGGTCTGGTATATATATATATATATATGATGTTGGGGTGGTATAGAGATGAGGATGATGGAGGTGTATTATAGATCAGGATGGAGGGGTCTGGTATATATATGATGTTGGGGGTGGTATAGAGATAAGGGTGATGTGGAGGTGAATTATAGATCAGGATGGAGGAGTCTGGTATATATATGATGATGGTATAGAGATGAGGGTGATGTGGAGGTGTATTATAGATCAGAATGGAGGGGTCTGGTATAGAGATGAGGGTGATGTGGAGGTGTATTATAGATCAAGATGGAGGAGTCTGGTATATATATGATGATGGGGATGGTATAGAGATGGGTGATGTGGAGGTGTATTACAGATCAGGATGGAGGAGTCTGGTATATATATGTAGGGGGTGGTATAGAGAGATGAGGGTGATGGAGGTGTATTACAGATCAGGATGGAGGAGTCTGGTATATATGATGTTGGGGATGGTATAGAGATGGGGATGTTAAGGTGTATTATAGATCAGGATGGAGGGGTCTGGCATACATATGTATGGTATAGAGATGGGTGATGTGGAGGTGTATTATAGATCAGGATGGAGGAGTCTGGTATGATGTCGGGGATGGTATAGAGATTGTGATGTGGAGGTGTATTATAGATCAGGATGGAGGGGTCTGGCATACATATGATGGGGATGGTATAGAGATGGTGATGTGGCGGTGTACTATAGATCAGGATGGAGGAGTCTGGTATATGATGATGGATCTGGTATACAGATGGTGATGTGGAGAGAATTGGACCTCCAGCTCCGGAGATGAATGTGTCTGGAGCGGTGGTATGTGGGGGGATAGATGGGTGGTGAAGTTTGGGGTGATGTGGAGGTGTATTATAGATCAGGATGGAGGAGTCTGGTATATATATGAGGATGGTATAGAGATGGTGATGTGGAGGTGTATTATAGATCAGGATGGAGGAGTCTGGTATATATGATGATGGGGATGGTATAGAGATGAGGGTGATGTGGAGAGAATTGGCCCTCCACCTCCGGAGATGAATGTGTCTGGAGCGGTGGGATGGATGGGTGGTGAAGGTCAGGGTGATGTGGAGGTGTATTATAGATCAGGATGGAGGAGTCTGGCATATGATGATGGATCTGGTATAGAGATGGTGATGTGGAGAGAATTGGCCCTCCAGCTCCGGAGTTGAATGTGTCTGGAGCGGTGGGATGTGGGGTGATGATGGGGGTGTATTATAGATCAGGATGGAGAAGTCTGGTATATGATGATGGGGATGGTATAGAGATGGTGATGATGGAGGTGTATTATAGATCAGGATGGAGGCGTCTGGCATATGATGGATCTGGTATAGAGATGGTGATGTGCAGAGAATTGGCCCTCCAGCTCCGGAGATGAATGTGTCTGGAGCGGTGGGATGTGGGGGGATGGCTGGGTGGTGAAGGTCGGGGTGATGATGGGGGGTGAGAGGTGTACGGGGTGTGCCGGGCCTATGGAGGATGTCTGGGTCTCGGCCTGGTAGTGAGCGGTTCCCTGCTGTCCTTACCTCCGTCCCTCGGTGTGGGTGTCTTCGTCCCCCCCTGTGGGGGTTCTCCTCCGCTTCCCCTCCTCTCCCGGCCGTCGTGCTCCCCGTCACCCAGCCGACACTAGGCCGCAAATCCCCGAGCTTTCCTAGACGCGGATCCCCGCGCCGCCCTTCCCCAACGCGGGCAACCCAGTCATGAGGGGGCGGGGGAGGTGACCTCAGAGCGGCCCCCCCACCCCAGGGATAAAAGCTCGGGCCCCGTCAGATGGAAGGAGCGATATTTTACGTCACAAATTACCGAAAAAAAAACGATTTTTACGTCAGAGAGGGGCGACCAGTGAGGTGGACTGGGGTGGAGGGGTGTTGTATGGTGACTTCTCTGCGGGCTCGGCTCCGGAACCACCAGGCCGACTTAATCCGGATTGGCTCGGTTCGGATTATCGGGGGTAATGGGTTTAATTAGTGTAAACACGATAGTGAAACCGCTGGATTTCTCGCGAGATCCGGAGCACGGGGCGCGTCCACGAGAAGGGGAAAAAACGCGCCAAAATCGGGTCGGTGGGGAGCGCGCGTCGGCGGCGGGGGCGCGCAGAGCTTTCCCGTCGTAAGAGGGAGGAGAAAGGCAAAGGGCCATTGGTCGAGGCGAGACATGTGGGAGGGTTTGGAGGGCCACGCCTTAAAGAGAGAAGCCTGAGAAGGGGCGAGAAGCAATTTGGTAGCGCCGCCGTGCGTGGGCGGGGCGACTGGGACAACGCCCTCCGTGTTACGGAGGAGAAAAGGGGGATGATCAAGGGGTGATTGGCTAAGAGCAGACGTGAGGGAGGGCATTGCCTGCGCTGTCTGCTAAGGGCGTCGTCGAGGGAGGTCCTTAGCTGAATGAAAGTGATGATTGGCTAATAAAGAATAGCAGCTACAACACCCACTTCTTCCTTTTATAGAATTGTCCAATCAGCACTGGGGTGTTGAGAAAGGCATTTTGGGAAAACTGCCTTGTAGACACGTGTGACCAAGATGACCTCATTCTGATAGTGAATGACGCCCCAGTATTGTCTGTGTAAATTCCATCACTGGGACCTCACTGAGCTTTAATTGGTTAATGTCACTTTAAAAGCATTTTCACAGGTTTTTGTTATTATTTGAAGCTTTCATTAAAATGAAGCCTGGTGATCCTGCCATGAAGATCATTGGTTCAGGCACTTCCTGTTTTCGGTGACTCCTCTGCATTGTGTAAAAATGCTGTTTGACCCTGTCTTCTCTGATCCTCCCCTTCTTCCAGTGCCCCCCTCTGGAGACACTCTGCACTTGCTCAGTTTGGTGTGTATTGCTAGAGGGTTTTTTTTTGGGAGAGTGCATGTGATCAGCACAGGGCCAATCAGCACTGTCCAGACAGAGGTCAGGGGTTCTGCATCCTCCTAGAACAAAATTAAAACTCCTCCTTTAACCAGTGCTTTGCTGGACACTGATAGAAGTCTCAAGATTGCTGTAACTGCTGATGAGAAAAGGTATTTAGCAGTTTATATTTACTAAAATAATTGCATTTCCATGTAGTATGGAGACCAGATATAGTGAATGCAGGGTCCAGGGATACCAGATATAGTGAATACAGGGTCCAGGGATACCAGATATAGTGAATACAGGGTCCGGGGAGACCAAATATAGTGAATGCAGGGTCCGGGGAGACCAGATATAGTGAATGCGGGGTCCGGGGAGACCAGATATAGTGAATGCAGGGTCCGGGGAGACCAGATATAGTGAGTGCAGGGTCCGGGGAGACCAGATATAGTGAATACAGGGTCCGGGGAGACCAGATATAGTGAGTGCAGGGTCCGGGGAGACCAGATATAGTGAGTGCAGGGTCCGGGGAGACCAGATATAGTGAGTGCAGGGTCCGGGGAGACCATATATAGTGAATGCAGGGTCCGGGGAGACCAGATATAGTGAATGCCGGGTCCGGGGGGGGGCCAGATATAGTGAATGCAGGGTCCAGGAATACCAGATATAGTGAATGCGTGGTCCGGGGAGATCAGATATAGTGAATGCAGGGTCCAGGGAGACCAGATATAGTGAATGCAGGGTCCGGGGAGAGCGGATATAGTGAATGCAGGGTTCTGGGAGACCGGATATAGTGAATGCGGGGTCCGGGGAGACCAGATATAGTAAATGCAGGGTCCGATTAGACCAGATATAGTGAATGCAGGGTCCGGGGAGACCAGATATAGTGAATGCGGGGTCCGGGGGGGGCCAGATATAGTGAATGCAGGGTCCAGGGATACCAGATATAGTGAATGCGCGGTCCGGGGAGACCAGATATAGTGAATGCAGGGTCCGGGGAGACCAGATATAGTGAATGCAGGGTCCGGGGAGACCAGATATAGTGAGTGCAGGGTCCGGGGAGACCAGATATAGTGAATGCAGGGTCCAGGAATACCAGATATAGTGAATGCGCGGTCCGGGGAGACCAGATATAGTGAATGCAGGGTCCGGGGAGACCAGATATAGTGAATGCAGGGTCCAGGGAGACCAGATATAGTGAATGCAGGGTCCAGGGAGACCAGATATAGTGAATGCAGGGTCCGGGGAGAGGGGATATAGTGAATACAGGGTCCTGGGAGACCGGATATAGTGAATGCGGGGTCCGAGGAGACCAGATATAGTGAATGCAGGGTCCGATTAGACCAGATATAGTGAAGGCAGGGTCCGGGGAGACCATATATAGTGAAGGCAGGGTCCGGGGAGACCGGATATAGTGAATGCAGGGTCCGGGGAGAGCGGATATAGTGAATGCAGGGTCCGGGGAAACCGGACCCTGCATTCACTATATCCAGTCTCCCCGGACCCTGCATTCACTATAGCTGGTCTCCCCGGACCCTGCATTTACTATATCCGGTCTCCCCGGACCCTGCGTTCACTATATCTGGTCTCCCCGGACCCCACATTCACTATATCTGGTCTCCTCGGACCCTGCATTCACTATATCCGTTCTCCCGGGACCCTGCATTCACTATATCTGCTCTCCCACAGTACACACAACATGGAAGTGCAATTATTTTAGTAAATATAAACTGCTAAATACCTTTTCTCATCAGCAGTTAGAGCAGTCTTGTGACTTCTATTAGTGTTCAGCTGAGCACATAATAAAGCTTGTAGGAGGAATTTTCTTTCTGCCCTAGGAGAATGCAGAACCCCTGACCTCTATTTGGACGCTGTTGATTGGCCCTGTGCTGATCTCATTGCTTTCTCCCAAGAAAAAAAAAAACCTCTCTAGCAATACATACCAAACTGAGCATGTGCAGAGTGACTCCACAGGATATGTCTTATCAGGAGATAAGAGGGGGACACTGGAAGAAGGGGAGGATCAGAGAAGACAGAATGAAACAGTCTTTTAACACAATGCAGAGGTTTAACCCCTTAGGTTCCACAGTGAGTATAGCAAGCATGCTTTACTGCATATACAGACTGATTGTACTGTTGTGGGTTTGGTAACATTTTTAACCAGTAAATAACGAATACATACATCGTAATAAAATATCTACAGTATATCATTTTTTAAAATGTATTTCTATTTAGTGCCCTAACTTTCGGATTACCCTAATCAGTCCTAACTAATGCTTTGCTCTTTTTCTTTTTTTAACTAGTACTGTAATTCCCTGATTTTTTTTTTTCTAGGCATTAATATTTAAACTTTTTTTGTTGTTGTTACTTTTTGTTTAAATTAAAAAAAAAAAGTTGAAAAAAAATAAAAAAAAAAACCTATCACTTGTCAATATGTTTCTAATGCTTTGTATCAGAATCATCATTTTAGTGTGCTCTCCGGAGGATATACCCTCCTTCCTGACCAGGCCATTTTTTGCATTACGGCGCTGCGTTACCTTAACTGAGAATTGCATGGTCATGCAACGCTGTACCCAAATTACATTTACATCGTTTTTTCCCACGAATACAGCTTTCTTTCAGTGGTATTTGATCGCTTGTGTTTTTTATTTTTTGCACTAAAAAAAGACCAACATTTTTGAGAAAAAAAAAACAATATTTTTGACTTTTTGCTATTAAACATGTCCAGTAAAAAAAATTTTAAAAATCAAATTTCGTCATCAATTTAGGCCAAAATGTATTCTGCTACATGTCTTTGCTAAAATAAATCCCAATACATGTAAATTAATTGGTGAAAGTTATAGCGTTTACAAATGCCAGTATGTATACTGGGATTTTTTTTTTTCATTTATTTTTACTAGTAATGGTGGTGATCAGCGATTTATAGCGGGACTGCGGCGGATATTCTGACACTGGAGGGAACTGACTTGCTGTCACTGACATCCACAGTGACACCAATACAGAGATCAGTGCTACTAAAAAAAAAAAAAGCACTAATACTGGGCAGGAAGGGGTTAACATGAGGGGAGATCAAAGGGTTAACTGTGTGCTGGGTTTGTTTTACTAGGGGGGTGGTGTCAGTGTGCTTCACTGTAAGCACACTGCTTTGAATGGTTGTGCTGTGCACAGCCATCCAAAGCAATGTGCCCGAGCTGACAGGGAGGAGAACTGTTAGTAAACAAAACAGTTCTCCTCCCCGTCGGAGATCCTTGGTAATCACTGGCCGGGACCCAGCGATTGACAGCCGCAAATGGCGGCACGGGTAGGGCGTGCGTGCCCCCTACCCGGAAATGCAAAATCACGTATGTATACGTGATTTTGTGCACCCATGTAGCAGTACTTCTGCTATAGGGTGGTCGGGAAGTGGTTAATATCTACCCTAAGTCACATTACTGATTGCATATTGTACTTGTTTGTATTCTAAATACTGAAATTTGCACTTCAAACTGTACTTTTTTTTTTTACTTTTGGAAATGCCAGTAAAAACTTGGCTGAGCCAGTTAGTTTGGGTGTCGTGTCAATGAATTTCAGTCTGGTAGGCTGGCAACACTGACAGGGTGCCCCTAAAGTCTGAACACATAGGCAAAATGCATACTGAGAAATAAAAAAACATATAGTTAGTGACATTTCCTATGTGTTCAGGCTTTAGGGACACCCTCTATATACCTTAGGCATAGGCTGAGAAACTCAAAATGCGTCAGTAAATTTCAGTCTGGTAGGCAGGCAACCCTGGCAGGGTGCCCCTAAAGTCTGAACACATAGACAAAATGCATATTGAGAAAAAAAAACAAAAAATATATATAGTTAGTGATATTTCCTATGTGTTCAGGCTTTAGGGACACCCTGTATATACCTTTGGCATAGGCTGAGGAACAGAGAAACTCAAAACGCATCAGTAAATTTCAGTCTGGTAGGCTGGCAACACTGAGAGGGTGCCCCTAAAGTCTGAACACATAGGCAAAATGCATATTGAGGAAAAAAAACCAAAAATATATATAGTTAGTGATATTTCCTATGTGTTCAGGCTTTAGGGACACCCTGTATATACCTTTGGCATAGGCTGAGGAACAGAGAAACTCAAAACGCATCAGTAAATTTCAGTCTGGTAGGCACGCAACACTGACAGGGTGCCCCTAAAGTCTGAACACATAGGCAAAATGCATATTGAGAAAAAAAAACCCAAAAAATATATATAGTTAGTGACATTTCCTATGTGTTTAGGCTTTAGGGACACCCTATATATACCTTAGGCATAGGCTGAGAAACTCAAAACGCATCGCTAAATTTCAGTCTGGTAGGCGGGCAACCCTGACAGGGTGCCCCTAAAGTCTGAACACATAGGCAAAATGCATATTGAGAAATAAAAAAACATATAGTTAGTGATATTTCCTATGTTTTCAGGCTTTAGGGACACTCTATATATACCTTAGGCATAGGCTGAGAAACTCAAAACGCGTCAGTAATTTCAGTCTGGTAGACAGGCAACCCTGACAGGGTGCCCCTAAAGTCTGAACACATAGACAAAATGCATATTGAGAAAAAAAAACCAAAAATATATATAGTTAGTGACATTTCCTATGTGTTCAGGCTTTAGGGACACCCTCTATATACCTTAGGCATAGGCTGAGAAACTCAAAATGCATCAGTAAATTTCAGTCTGGTAGGCAGGCAACCCTGACAGGGTGCCCCTAAAGTCTGAACACATAGGCAAAATGCATATTGAGAAAAAAAACCAAAAATATATATAGTTAGTGATATTTCCTATGTGTTCAGGCTTTAGGGACACCCTGTATATACCTTTGGCATAGGCTGAGGAACAGAGAAACTCAAAACGCATCAGTAAATTTCAGTCTGGTAGGCAAGCAACCCTGATAAGGTGCCCCTAAAGTCTGAACACATAGCAAAATGCATATTGAGAAAAAAAACCCAAAAATATATATAGTTAGTGATATTTCCTATGTGTTCAGGCTTTAGGGACACCCTGTATATACCTTTGGCATAGGCTGAGGAACAGAGAAACTCAAAACGCGTCAGTAAATTTCAGTCTGGTAGGCAGGCAAACCCTGATGAAGGGTGCCCCTAAAGTCTGAATACATAGGCAAAATGCATATTGAGGAAAAAAAAACAAAACAAAATATATATAGTTAGTGATATTTCCTATGTTTTCAGGCTTTAGGGACACCCTGTATATACCTTTGGCATAGGCTGAGGAACAGAGAAACTCAAAACGCATCAGTAAATTTCAGTCTGGTAGGCACGCAACCTGACAGGGTGCCCCTAAAGTCTGAACACATAGGCAAAATGCATATTGAGAAAAAAAACCCAAAAATATATATAGTTAGTGACATTTCCTATGTGTTTAGGCTTTAGGGACACCCTATATATACCTTAGGCATAGGCTGAGAAACTCAAAACGCATCACTAAATTTCAGTCTGGTAGGCGGGCAACCCTGACAGGGTGCCCCTAAAGTCTGAACACATAGGCAAAATGCATATTGAGGAAAAAAAAAAACAAAAATATATATAGTTAGTGATATTTCCTATGTTTTCAGGCTTTAGGGACACCCTGTATATACCTTTGGCATAGGCTGAGGAACAGAGAAACTCAAAACGCATCAGTAAATTTCAGTCTGGTAGGCACGCAACACTGACAGGGTGCCCCTAAAGTCTGAACACATAGGCAAAATGCATATTGAGAAAAAAAAACCAAAAATATATATAGTTAGTGACATTTCCTATGTGTTTAGGCTTTAGGGACACCCTATATATACCTTAGGCATAGGCTGAGAAACTCAAAACGCATCAGTAAATTTCAGTCTGGTAGGCGGCAACCCTGACAGGGTGCCCCTAAAGTCTGAACACATAGGCAAAATGCATATTGAGAAATAAAAAAAACACATAGTTAGTGATATTTCCTATGTTTTCAGGCTTTAGGGACACTCTATATATACCTTAGGCATAGGCTGAGAAACTCAAAACGCGTCAGTAAATTTCAGTCTGAACACATAGACAAAATGCATATTGAGAAAAAAAACCAAAAATATATATATAGTTAGTGACATTTCCTATGTGTTCAGGCTTTAGGGACACCCTCTATATACCTTAGGCATAGGCTGAGAAACTCAAAATGCATCAGTAAATTTCAGTCTGGTAGGCAGGCAACCCTGACAGGGTGCCCCTAAAGTCTGAACACATAGGCAAAATGCATATTGAGATAAAAAACCAAAAATATATATAGTTAGTGATATTTCCTATGTTTTCAGGCTTTAGGGACACCCTGTATATACCTTTAGCATAGGATGAGGAACAGAGAAACTCAAAACGCATCAGTAAATTTCAGTCTGGTAGGCACGCAACACTGACAGGGTGCCCCTAAAGTCTGAACACATAGGCAAAATGCATATTGAGAAAAAAAACCCAAAAATATATATAGTTAGTGACATTTCCTATGTGTTTAGGCTTTAGGGACACCCTATATATACCTTAGGCATAGGCTGAGAAACTCAAAACGCATCAGTAAATTTCAGTCTGGTAGGCGGGCAACCCTGACAGGGTGCCCCTAAAGTCTGAACACATAGGCAAAATGCATATTGAGGAAAAAAAAACAAAAATATATATAGTTAGTGATATTTCCTATGTTTTCAGGCTTTAGGGACACCCTG